TTGTCGACGGTCAAGCAATACACAGTGCCTGCATGCCAATGACCCGTGAATTGATAGACCGCACCACAGCTTTCGCATTTGTGACACGGAGCAGATAAGCGCCAGCGGTCGTCTGGCATCTGCCGTACTGTCGAAAGATTGTAAATCGGAGAGCGGCGGCATTTGGACCAAGTTCGTGCAGCCACCTGCAAAGCTTTTTGTGGTGAGAGCTTTTTGTCGACAGAGTCCTGTCCATAACTCACATCTTCGATGAACTCATAGGACAAGACTCGGCGCCGAACCTTCGCGGGCGAGGCATCTGCTACAAGCCCTTCGGGCGAGGCATCGGCTACAAGCCCTTCGGGCGAGGCATCGGCTGCAAGTGCACTGTCGGCAGCCATAAAGCCATAAATGCTTCTGTACTTGTACCTTCACTTTTGATATGGACGGGTGACGGGTGGTGCCAGGAATGAATCTCCATCAGCGCCCTGAATTGCACATGTGCTTGGACCCGTGCTCAAAGGTGGCGTCGCACAAAACTTCGTCGCCTTGTCGAACTGCCTGGTCAGGCTCAGCATGAATTCTTGCGGATCTGGGTGTCAGGTGTTCTTCGCGAACCATGGTGTGTTGCAGAACACTCTGACAAGGTGGCATCGACCAACATGGGGCGGTTTGCCACATCGCTGCTACTGCCCCGGAAGGTCGGAAGTCGTCAGAACTCTGGGCACACCGATGCAATATCATAGGAAGTCTCCTAGCAAATAGCACAAAGCTGAAAATGGCAAGCAACAAGCAACAAAACAAAAGAAAAAGCAAGAAAGGGCAATTTAAATGCTGAACTAAAGCTACATCAAGTAGAGCAAAATGTCAACAAAAAGTTAACCACCTAGTCAAAGCAGAAAAGCAGAAACTACACTCCCAAAATCATAGAAATCCCTCTGCTGAGTCCCTTGTACCTCATCCAAGTTCCATCCCTGGAAGCTGCCGACGATGCAGCAGTCCTGCGCCCCCGGGTCGGCCATGGCGAAGACAACGTGCATCCCAGCCCTAACTTGCATCACTCACCTTGACATGCTACTCTGCCACTCGCCAGCATAGGACCTGGTCGACTTCAGCTGCTTGTGTAGAGCCAAAGCACCGCGCGCAAGTCGTGCAAATTGTGGAGTAAGGCGGCGATCAATTACAATATACAGTTGTGATATGTTCTTTCATGCACCATGATGTCATTCTAGAAGGCATTGCTGATGTGTTGTTTCCTGTGTTTTGTGGCTTGTGACTTCTTGGCCTTGGCATTTTGTCTCCTGGCTTCTTAGTCGAAGCAGCGTACTACATGGTTGCATTCTGTGTACTAGACAGTGCGTTAGATGCTCCTTTACTAGTGGCGTTGTATCCTGCGCTGTGCTATGTATATCATCCGAAGCCCAAGCAATCATATCTAACTTCCAGCTGGGAGCATGACCCTCCGCATCCAAGAATGCAATGGTCTAAGATTCTACCAAAACCCTGAACCCTCACTTAATTGCTTTTTGGTTGCCCTACGATCTGCTGGAGGCCGTTTGCGAGTGCTCTATGTTCAAGAGTGCCCGCGGTGAAATCTTCGTCTTGCATTATGTCGTAATTCCCGCCCATCAGGATTTGCGATCTGGAATTCAGCTGTTCAAGAAGATGACGAGGGTAGACAAAGCCAAGCTGGCACATCTGTACATCTATACATCACTGGTAGAGGTTTTGAACATTGCTCAACGAGCTAGACTCAAGATCAGGAGTTGAATATATCATCAATCAATTCAAGGTGAGCATGAAATCTCGGAGTTACCAGCGTGTCACTACGCCAACGTAATTCTGATCGGGAGCCTGCTCAGAGGAGGAATACTCACAACTTCGTCTCACTGCCACGAACCCTGCAACTCAGGAGCAGCTTGGTCGACAGCTTCTTTAAGGCTGCTGATGCCCGCTGTCCAGGCATGCGTCTGGATCCGCCCCTTGCTCTAGGAGATGTTCGGCAGATTCGAGATGATCATTCTTGGAAGCAAGGTAGAGCGCCGTGACGCCGTCCGGCCCACGTGCTTCCACATCTGCCTTGGCATCCAGCAGCTCTTTGAGCACAGTGAGGTGCCCAAGCTGAGCTGCGATGTGAATTGGACAGGCCCCACTCGCTAAGCTCTTCTGCACATCGGCTCCGAAAAAAGCCAGCCTCCTCACGACCCGATCTTTGCCGGCCTGTGCAGCCACGAACGTCGCTGTCGCACCGCTGCTCTGCATGCCGATGTCGAGCCCTTGCACCCCAGCCCTGTTTATGATCTCTGGCACCAAAACATCCACCACATCCACGTGTCCGTTGTGAGCTGCCAAAATCAAAGGCGTGGTGCCGTCGCGTGCCGCTGCAAAGACATCGGCGCGGTGTTGCAGCAAGACTGCGACAGCCTGCTGGTGCCCGTTCTGAGCCGCTTTGAACAGCGGCGTGGCTCCGTCGTGGCTGCGCACTTCTGTCGAGGCGCCGGTTTTCAACAGCATGCCGACGATCTCTGCATGACCGTTCTGGGCGGCAAAGTACAAGGCCGTCAAACCCGTCGGATCTTCCAGGTTTATGGTCGTCTCGCAGGCGGCCAGGACTCGGCTGCAGACTTTCTCGTGCCCGTTCTGGGCCGCCACCATCAGCGCTGTTGCCCCATCTGCTGTCCTGTGATTCACTCTCACACGCTGGGGATAAAGCTCGAGGCTTTCACGGAGCGACAAAGATGTCCTGACGTCTTTTGGGCTTTCCAAGACCCAGGATTGGCGCAACTTCTAAGCGTGCAAAGCGAAACCTGTAGTCGAACCCGAACACCACCGGCCTCAAAGAAACAGCACCAAATAAACACTCTTCAAGAACTACGAAGATGGGTCGGATCTCGCGAGTGCCAAAGTGAAATGGCATTAGTCATTTCTGAGCATTTCTGCATGGATGTACTTTATGGTTACGAAGACATCTTCACCCTGGTGCTGACCCATCCGCCGTCCTCTCATTCACGTTGGCACGGGCATCCAACAAGATTTGCACAATCTCTTCGTTGCAATTCTGGCAATCAGCATACAGCGGGCTTGCAAAGGCAACAACAGCATTCGTTCCATCACCAGGGCCACCTTGCAGGTTGACATGAGCACCACAATCCAGCAAGAATCGGACCACAACCACGTTGCCCTTGTCGGAAGCTGCAAAAAGGGGCGAAGCTCCCCTGTTATCCTTGCCAAGATGCCGATTTCACAGCAGATCAGAAGGTACACGGGGGAGAAAAAAAAACATGAACTGACATAAAAGTAGCTAGTTGTTGCAATCCTTGAATCTTTGGAGGCATGGCATCTTCTCTTGGCTAGGCGATGTGCAAGGTGTTGAGCTCCGGCTACGGCAACAAGCTGCTGCTGCTGCTGCTGCTTGAATGCTAATCCTGCTCTTGGAATGTGTAGCTGCAACAACACACCCTGTCTGATCTTGTACTTTGAACCTCTTCCCGATATCGAGGTTTACTTATGTCTGGGTAGCGACCAACAAGTACTATCACAATTTCTGATCAGGGCGCGGTTTTGTCGAAGTCTGCATTGGCCTTGTGCAGGCAACGAAGCTTCTCCAAGTCGCCGTTCCGGCTGGCCCTCCATGCTGCTGTCTGGCCCCTCTCATTCGTCGAGTTCGGGTCCTGGCCTGCAAATAGCGCCGACTCGAGCTTGCTCGTTTCAGAGCTGTGGAGCAGGTCCCTGTACTCGGGGAAGTCATGGGGAACAGCCTGGTAGACGTAAATCTGCGACGGTCTTTGGAGCTCTGCCCATGTGCCGGAAGTGAGGCATGCTCTCTGCATCCCCGGCCCCTCAGAGCCGGGGAAGTCAACCATCAGCTTGGTAGTGTAGTATGATAGCCCGAACTTCTCGTGGAGATGATTTCGGAGCCAATCGACGAAATCGGGCCTGTCACATGCTACATGCTCCGTTATTGCGTGGAAACGCTCGCCGGTTAGGCACCATCTCAATGAGACCCAACGGGTCAAGGTCGCAACCCCCTTGATGTGGCGCTGCAAACGGTGGTCATAACAGCAGATGTCCTTGGGTTGCGGACAGAACCATGTGTTCTCTCCACACTGAAGAAGCATCATTTTTGGAAGTTCCACGATGACGACGGCGAAATCGCTCCAAGCAGCCACCTGCCCGCAGCCTCTGCCGAAAACCTTGAGCAGCATGCCCTCCTCCCATTGTACAGCCGCCCAGTCTGCATCGGCTGGTGACAACCGAGTCAAGTAGATGCCAGACACGTTTGTTTGGCAATGGGAGGTTACAAACCCTTGCTTCAAAATGCTCTTCGCGCTCTCTGTGGGAGTGTAATGGTACAGCAAGATACAGTCCGGATCGCAGCCTGCTTCGAGATGCTGCAGCATCTCTGCCATTTTCTCCTGCTTCTGCGACCGAGAAAGGAAGCCGTTGATCTCGTCGAGCTCGTCCTGCAACCGGTGCACGCCGGGCGCATCCTCCACTTCAAGCTCACGCCCATACGGCCAACGAGGAATAAAGTGCCGCTCCGGGCGCACCCTGAACGCGCAGGCTCGCCGCCAGTCTTTGCACTCCATGAAGTACCGACACATGGTTACGATCTTCTGCCAGCTGATCTGAAAGCTCGAAATGCATACTCCACCGAAGTACACGTCCACATCAATCAGAAACAAATCACCCCGGCAGGTATCATGCGGCTCCTCCGCAGAGTCACGAAGCTTCCGGGCGGAGCTGCCGATGAGGGCGCCGACCAAAGTCGACTGCCCGACCCCCGGATTGCCGACGCATATGCATGTCGACTCCATACCCTCCATCTGCACTACAGATGTGGCTGGAGCACTACCATTGGGAGGGTCAGAGCAAAAGCGGCTGGAACGCTGCACAGTGTCCTGCACGTGCAGAAGCATGGCTGAGGTGAATTGCCCCTGCATGTGCGGTGCATACTGCTTGCTTTTTCTGGTGCTGCCATGTCGCACAGCGCTAATAAACGGTCTAAGCCCCCGTGCGCAACACACTGAGTCGTCGACCCCATGCCACATGGAACTGAGATCAGCAACATCAACCATCAGCCTGATGTCTTGAAACCTGATGCCTCCAGCCACACGAAGCGGACAAGCGGCGCTACCCGACTTCAGTGCATGACTCATTCTGCTTATGTGCAGATGTCACGAATGGCAGGCTACGGACTCATGCACCACAAGCTTCATGCGAATGCCTTGTCAGGCCGTTTTTCGTAAAGAGACGGAATTGAATGCAACGGTTTCCTGATCACTGTGTGGTCGTTTCCCGCTCAACAGCTTTTGCACTCTGGAGCTCCAGCTGTTCAAGATGACGAGGATAGGATAAAGCCAAGTTTTGGCCCCTTGGAGCTCGATGCCAGGGTCTCAATCTCTCACTGTACAGTTGTCTATACAAAACTTGCAGAGGTCGTGAACATCGCTCAACGAGCTAGACTCAAGATCAGGCGTTGAAGACATCATCAATCAGTTTCCTGCAATGAGTCTCCTGTCAGCATGAAATCTGGGAGTTACCAGCGTGTCACTACGCCAACGTAATTCTGATCGGGAGCCTGCTCAGAGGAGGACTACTCACAAATTCAGCCAATTCAGCCGGTTTCGATCTCACCGCCAAGAACCCTCCAACTCGGAAGCAGCTCGGTTGAAAGCTTCTTCACGCTGCTGCGCGTTCTCGAAATACCTCGGGAAAAACGAAAAGCAGCAAGCTCCAGCAGTTCCACCCGTCGCCAGGGCACATGGGGTCGCCGTGGCTCGGCAGCACAGCCGGCAGAAACGGCGCCTGCCGGGCGAAGCCCCGCAAGGAGGCGGCTTGCCGGGCCCGGCCGAAGCGAGCAAAGCGCGGGAAGCCCGTGGGTGCTGACCAGAAGCCGAGGCTGTCCTCATTCCAAGTCTCGGGGTCCGTGGGGTTAAACGGCTCTGAGGTGTTGGGGGCTTTGGGGTCCTGGGTTTTGCGGTATGGAGTTGGTGCGTAGATTTCAACGGAATTGCGCAACTGGCAAGGCTCCCCGGTGAACAAGGCAGAGAGCTTCGAGCTGGCATAGAAGACGGAACCCTCCGAGTGCCCGGGGGCGTGGTAGGCTGTCAGGCCCGCAACCTCTGCTTGCAAAAATGATACAGCAAGGAACACCCACGTCTCAGGACATCCCCATTGCCTCCTGGCCACTCCCAAATCCCAGGGCCCATTTCCGGACAGTTTCATCTCGAGGTCATCGTACTTGCAGTCAGCGACGTGCGCCACGCGGACAACTTCCGGAAAGTTCCTCTTCCAGGTTCCATGGTCACTCAGGCCAACCTTGCAAGCAGAAATCAAATCATGGGCTTTGATCTGGGTCGGAGGTTCTCGTCCTTGAAACCACTCTGAACTCTCAACCTTAGGCCGTGTCCGTCTTATCTGAAAGGGTGATCAGGGTCGCTCCGGGCCATGTGCTTGCAAGCTAAGAACGCATGAAAGATGCATTCCAAACTGCCATGGCAGTTCTGCCTCGGACTTCCTGCATTTCATTGCATTCGGGTCAGGTGGCGTTGGTATTCTTGCCGCATTCCTTTTGAGGGCTCTTGCCTCTTCGTTCTTACTTGCCGGCCTGCTTTGTTGCATGCTTGAACTCACTTGCCGGCTTGCTTGCTTGGCCGGGGTGTGGGGCTACAGTTGAAAAGCTTGACGGAGTGTTGCTTTACACCCGACGGCCCTTGCAACTACGAGTAGAATCTTGGAAGATCTTTAGGTTGTTGTACAACGCATCCTTTTCGCCGTGTTGTCTGCAAGCTTCCCTCTGGGCTCTGAGTCTTTTATTTGCTTCAGTGAACCGCGGCTTAAGCTAGCAATGCTGGAGCAACACCACCACCCCTTCCCCGGGGGAGTGGAATGAAACAAGCTTCCCAAAGCGACAACACAACAGCTGAACAACAGGTTCCACGTCAGTGAAAGGGTCGATGTCAAATCAAGTCAATAGTGAGCCCTGAGTGCCCCCCTCCCTCCTCGCTGAGATGCTTTGCGACAACATGGTGGGTAGCGGGTAAGGGAGCCTTGTCAACTCGGATTGGCAACGCTCACGTGATTTTTGCCAGAACTTGCGCCACACACGCACACGTGCGTTTATAAGGCCTAATCTCCAGCCAGTTGCAAAAGAGCCGCAAAGGCATCTGCCTGCAAGCTTCACGCCTCTCAACCCGAAACCCGAAGCCCCTTAAGATCCTGCTTTGACGAGCCATGCAAACCAGGCGCAAAGTCATCGTGCGTGAGCAGGATGTGCGAGAGGCCACCCGGGCCTTGCCTGCGCACCTCCGCGGCCAGGTCCTCTGCAGGGCAAAGGCCGCCCCAGTTGTGTGCGGAGTTCTGGACTCGGGGCTTCCTTTCAAAAAAAGCCGGGCTGTTGGCATTTGGAGTGATCAGATGTGTGTATACGAGTTTCAGCAGTCCGGCGAGTAATACGGCACATCCACCAGAATCACCTTGCCATCCTCGAGAAGGCACATGTGACCCCAAGGACCCAAACTTCGCGAACTCCGGCCGGGAATGCGGACAATACCTGTCCACACCAAGCGACTGCAAGTGTCTGCATTACACGTTGTGCATGTTTTGCCACAGCACGGGACAGTTTGCACGAGGCTGCAGTAGTACCCGCTGCCTGGCACAGCCGTCTCGGCAAAGGTGATTTTGGAAGCAGCTGCCATGGCTCCAGCGACTGTGCCACCCATGACGATCAGAACTCAACGTGCTGCAAGAACCGGCGTCTAGACTCTAGACCAAAACGGCTCCACAACGGCGGCACAACTCAGCTCACTGCGGACATTTGCCTACATGCTTCTGCTTTTCGGGCGACTCCTCTGACCGCCGTCGACAGTCAGTTGTTCGCGCTAGGCACGTGCAAGACGACTCGCATCTTCGGGCCGACCTTTTGCAGCTTCCAGCCGAGCAGATGTCGACGGTTTCGAGTCCGAGGGCGAGCACTCGTCTTGCAAGGCTCTGGTGCGCCCCAGGACTTCAGTGAATTACTGATTAAAATGGCAGATCGCAAAGCTCACTGCTCAACAAAACGGTCCTGCGAGGACCCTGAGACTTTCAACCCGGTTCAGGCTTACTTGCCTCAGCTCTGTGTCAAAGCAGTTGGGATTTATGAACATGCTATGCCATGAGCCATCCCTCTGAGAAAAATTCCGGGACTCCCGGTACCAGCTTGATGCGCTCCTTGTGATGCTCAAGCCGGACACTAATTGCAGGGTCATCCTGCAGTATCATGTTCAGGAACGCCGCCTTCTTGGTGCGTCCCCGCCAATCGACTCCCTGCTGACGCACTACGTCGGTAAACCGTGCAAGGCTCAGGTCTTCGCCAGCCCCATGCCTCCGGTTTAGGGTTTAGGTTTGGGGTTTAGGGTTTAGGGTTAGCCCCATGCCTCCGAAGCACGGCGAGGAGTTGAAATCGCAATTGGCGATTCTCTTCGCTCAGCGCAGAGCCAGCAAGGCTAGGTGCCTGGCAGGCATCATGATCGTAGGATGCGAGTAAAGTGCACCGGGTGTCAAAACTAAGGGGTCCCATTTGAGGGTCTCTTCATGAAGGACCCTGCCATTTGGGGAAACTCGTTGTCGGCAACTCTCACGGTTGCCTAAGCTTGCGAGAGGCATGTTCCGGAATGACTGGGATGTATCAAAAGTAATTTCATTACGATAAAAATACGAACAGACTACGAGCGGGAATACCAGCGGCAATCCATCAGCAGCAGCAGAGACAACAAAAATGTGTACGAAAAAGAATGCTATAATAATATAAGAAAATGCAAGATGAAAACTTTATAACACGAATAGAAGAACAATACAAGAAGCATACTTATCGTATTTCTTCCTAGCAAAACGAGTGTTCTCGCAGTTGTCTCGTATGTTCGCTCGTGCTTGCGTTGGTATTTTCGTTCGTATTTTCTTAATTTTCCACAGGAAAATTACGAAAGATAAGAGTTATTGTTGTTCCTCACGTCTTTCGTAGTCTTCATCTATGTTTCTGGTATGTTGCGTGTATTGTTTATCGTATTGTTCTCGTAATTTTCTCGTATTGGTCCTCTCCGTTTGGACGTCGAAAATTCCTTTCATATTTTATCATGGTTTCTCATTTTTGAAATTTGACTCGTATCTGTTGTTGTATCTGTTCTCGTGCTTATCTCGCAATTGTTTGATTTTAGCACATCCCAATGATTCCGGGCCGGTGCCCGTCACAAGCCTAAGCAAAGTGTCAGCTCACAAAAGCCAGTTGAGAAGAGAGCTCCGATTCACCTCTCTTTGCAAAGACCATAATTCGTGCGGTGCGGCAACGCTCGATGTCTTGTGCTGGCCCGTCCGCTTGCTTCAGAAAGCCTCTAACTAATGTCTGGGATATTCCCACGACTATCTGTGCACTGTAGCCTTGCAGATTCTCAGCATTTGGGCGGATAGTACTTCAAGAGAGTCGCTGTCACGTCCTTCGCAGCTTTTTGAATAGACTCTACGGGCGAGATATTTATCCCGGTACCGTAGCAGCAACGGCTGGAAGAGAGTGAGCAGCTGCAGAGCGTGCGGAGAGGATAAGATGAGAAGCAGAAGATGCTCCAGGACCTGCAGAAAGCACCAAGTTTTCAAAGGCCTTGACGACTTTAACTGCAACATGTGAAGGATGGAAAAGAAACCACACAAAGAAGGAGAGGAAAAAACACGAGCAGTGCATGTGATCGGGCCACACCCTTTGCCACCTTTCAATCGTTCTTACTGTCCCTTTCCGCGAAGTCCGCCGCACTGTCTGCTTGTTTATCTGAGCTTGAACCGCAATGGATGTAATCCTCAGCACACTGTGGCACTGGACTGGAACTTGGAGCATTCCGAAGCGAACCCGAATGCCGCCCGGCCTGTCTTTTGACGGATGCTATGGTGACTTCACTGCCACGTTGCAAAGGCCACGATTCTGCGAGCTGATACATGCGACGTGCTTGAGGGCACCACTGGAAGAGAGCACACGTGCCATACGGGCGGCCGCCCACAGTTTGGAGCTGCTGAAGAACATCACTCACTGACAGGTTGGCGCCGGGAGGGTAGAAAAGCTTCTGGGGCGTAGCTGTGTGAGAATGGACGGTGACCCAGTTCTCATTCACAGCCGTGGGATACTCATCATATCTCGGATCCTTAGGCAGATTGAAGTATCGAGGTGTTTTTCTTGCAGGTCCAATACTGCAACGCCAGCTTGTCGTTTGCTTAGTCTTATCAAGGTTCCGCACTACGGCTCCGGCGTGAACAGCCTAGGCCTTCCTCGAGATCAACGTGAAGCTTCGCATGTAAGAAGGTGCCACGTACTTCAACTTCCATGCCGGAAGCTGGTAGCGAAGTTCCTCGGCTTCTTTGGGCAGTGGAGAATCACACCTGGCCTTTTCACCCGTGTTGCAGCAGAGTGGCTGTAGCCAGCCTCGAAGCAAAGGGCGAATGGCCAAACACACAGGACTTATAAGGCCTGGCGGGTATGTCCACATGGGTCGCTCTCGAAGTTATTAGGTTCCCACAAGAATACAGCACCCTTACATAAAGGACCTTTAGAAGGGACCCCAGTTTAGAGAGCTACCCCCATATTAAGATGTTGCTCCAAGCGGCCCCATGCCGTTGCCATGTCACCTGAGATCTTTCTCAGGGTAGCAATATCAATATCGTTACATTCATGCAGCTACCGCGCCCAATCGACCTGCTCCGAGCGCTTTCTGCAGCCCAGAGGCACTGAGGGCGCTGTTGGCCATAGCAGTGAACCGTGAAGAGCCTTGCTGCCTGCTTGAGCCTCAAACGATATGTCTTTGTCGTCACACCACTATCGCAGTCTGAAGGACTGTGAGAAAGTTTATGCACTCTTAGCGGTGTCAGTGGGCAGTCAGTTGCGAAGCTGTGACAGGTCACGAAGAGACGGGAGCAGTTGCCCTCTTTTGTAATCCTGAAGGTTCGGTGTAATCGCAAAGCCCAAGAAGCATCATGGCTCAGCAGCCAACAGCTACACAGAACCGTTTAGCCTGCCAGTGTTGCCAAGGGCTTCATACATGCATTGGTCATGTGCCAAAGCAACCAAAACTCACTAAATTTTGGCAGGTGCGAGAGTCAAGCATGCGAGCATGCAGGACCTAGTCACGCCCTGCGACCCTGTACAAAGCCTCCCTTTGCAAAGGTTGGCCGGTTTCGTTGCGTATGACGACCAGCTGGTGGCTAAGACGGATACACAGGCTACACCAAAGAGGGCTGTGGGAATGTCTGCTATTCCAAAAGCACTATGAAAGTTTGGAAGTACGTAGAGCCTCCTGAAAAACGTGTTTCCACAAAGAGGATACAACTTCAAGACATTCACATCACATGATCGAGTGCAGCCCGTACAAGACTGGGCGTACTACGCGAACGAGTGCCCCGATCCGGAGCCGGAAAAATCTTGGAATCCAGAGGAACGCCGTCCAGATGGGAGACACGCGCTTGCAAAAGCTGGCGCTCAGCAGCTCAAACTTGGGTCTGTTCACAGTGACGAGCTCCATGTGCTCATGGAACGGACAGCTGCTGACAAGTCCCAGGTTCTCAACCTGCCACCATCAGACAAATGCATTGATGGATCAGAATCTTGCCAAGTTGCACATCCATACATTCCGGCAGTGAACACTTGGCACCACTACAAGGCCTTGCCTTTACGTCGTAATCTTGGAGAATAATTGCGCCCAAATTCAGGAGCATCGCCACAGCACCGCCTTACATTGCGCCCTGTTTCATCCAATATCTCAACCAACGGGGCCACATTCAATAAGTGCGGGGAGCACCCTACAAGTGTTTGCTCGTCACGACGGTATGGCTTAATCTCTAAAGTCTTCGGCGTGGCTCCTAGCGCGACCACAACATATTTCTTCTGCCCAAGCAGCGCTTCATCGGACACCCGAAAGGACGAATTCCGAAGGTGCAGGTCCTAGCGCATTGCCCAGGCGCTCGCTCTCTCCCTCTCTCCGCCTCTCTCTTCCTCTCTCTCCCTCTCTCTTTCTCTCTCTCCCTCCCTCCCTCCCTCCCTCCCTCCTTCCCTCCCTCCCTCTCGCTCTCTCGCTCTCTCTCTCTCTCTCTCTCTCTCTCTCTCTCGATCTCTCTTTCTCTCTCTGTCTCTTTCTCTGTTTCGTTCTCTCTCTCTCTCT